AACATAACAAATGGTAGACAACACACAGCTCACCACGCGTCCTAAAAGTCCTAATGCATAAACACTTAAGTACTTAAGGGTCATCTTATGGTCTCAAACTACACTTAACTTCTTAAAGGCTAGACTTTAACATCCTAGGCTCTGATACCAACTGTAACACCCCAATTTTACCATATTTTCAAAACTTAAATGCAATAGAAAAGCAATCTAATCATCCATTAATCATAAAGCGGAAGAGGGTCTAAACGGGGGCATTATGCCACATCTTACAGTACTAAAGATGCACAGGCGGGAAAACTAAACCATTAAAACAAGTCAAAAGGAGTCAAGGCACACGACCGCTCAAAAGACTCATATGCCATCAACAAAACTTCTAGACAAGGTGACTAACTATTTAACGCTCCAAGTCTAGCGCTCTCGGGCATCTACTCAAAACTTGTAGAATAAGGAAACATAACATGGGGATAACACCCGGTCAGCGAACATTGCTGGTAACACATCAATACGCGTTAAAGAGCATATATAGATAAGTATAAGTCAAAACCACTTTGAAACGGAATACAGTATATATCATTTCAAAAGCCATAGAGAGAAGTCAACTTCAAGGACTCATTCACACTCTCAAAGGAAAAGGAATCAACATCCTTACGACATTAACAAGACAAGAATCATGAAAGACAATACAACTCAAGATGCATTCTACTGATCACAAAGTAGAGTACATCAAGACATGCTCATAAGCAGAGAATACACATTCACACATTGGCAACTACATGCCACATTGACAACTACATGTCACAAGTATCATAGTTCCAACCTTATGACCTGTTCCAACCTTATGGCTACCCCCGGCCTTATTTCGGTTCCAACCTTTACCTCCTAGTGCCACCCTGTACTTCTGAGTCCAACCTTATGCCTCCGAGGACCGTCGTCCCCCCTCCGACTCTCCTATTCACCGCCGAACTCTCAGTACACGAGGGTACCATTAATTTCATTCACATAGCCTCCAACATATGAGCCAATGCTCAGGTAACACACCACCAATTTCAATCATAGTCACACAAGAACATCATCATTACCAAGAGGACTAAGGTTCAACAATAACCTTAATCAAGTATCAATCAAAGGGTACAATGATTACATACGTTCACATCATAGGCATCAATCAATGGATCACAACAAAGATATGAAACCATACTCAACAACAAAGGATCACAATCCGACACCAAACGATGGCCAATACAAGTTGCCAATCTCAATAAGAAAGAACAAACCGCACACAGTAGCATTTCAACATTAAACTAGCATGCTTATCAAACTGGTAAACCAAAAGTAGTTCCATAGAACATTCAAGACTCACAATAGTCCAACGAATCACAAGGTCGGACCCTTAGAATGATTCAAGACACCAAATCCTACATGGATTCCCAACCTACCGTCCTAGACATATGAAACATCAAGAAGACTCACAAATAGCCCAATAAAACAACATCGGGAGGTCAAAACATCAATACCGAGTCAAAAAAATCACGGGAACAAATCCCCGCCCAACAACAATAATGTACCCTGCGGGTGGGGCCACGGGTGGAAAACCGCCCGCGGATACCAACCCATGAGGCCTTTGTTCCCCGCAGGTGGAGCGGCGGGTAGGCCTCTGCCCGCCGTTCCGCCCTCGGGTACGCCCTGTACACCAACATAATCCCTTCGGGGATTTTAAAAAACAAGTCCAAATTCAAGTCCAAAACACCCAAAATCTCACACACAATAACAATATGACTTGAACCCAAGAAATAGCCAAGTAATGGCATTCAAGAACCCTAAGAACAAGCTCTAAACATGCATCACCACAAGATAATGCATCAAATCTCACAAATCAACACAAGAATCACAAGTAGAAGCCAAGAAATCATCATATAAGTAAGAAAATAGGTTTTGTAAAGCATGGGTTACCTTTGTAGCCTAAGAACTTCTTCTTATCACCCTTAGAAAGCCTTCCCTAAAGCTCTTCTTCCACAACAACTTCATACACAAACCAAAAGACAACAAAGATTCTATCTTTAGAAAAAGACACCTAAAAGGAGGTTAAAAACACCAAAAGACCAAGGATCTTACCCTCCCCTATGCTCAAGATGAAGAAAGTGGGAATCTTGGAAGACAACTTGCAAGATTTGGGATGCCCAAATCCTAGCTTGGAGAAGAAGCTACACCTCTCTAGAGAGAAGTTAGAGATTTTTGTGTTTGGATTGTAGGGTGAAAGAATGTAGGAGTGTTGCTAGGTTAGCGTGAACCACAAACTTTAGGTAGAAAGACATCCATACCCTTACTAAAGTTGGAAAGACAGGGGAACAAGGGCACCACTCAAGAAACACAAGGTACAACTCTTTGACTTTAGGTGACTAGTCAAAATCTAGTCCATCGACTATTGAATTTTAGGATTTTTTTTACGAATAAATTAACAAAGAGGTCGGCTAGGATTAATTCTCTAATTAATCCTTGATTAGAGTTTGGATTTACGGGGTGTCACAGGTATGGTCACCTGTCTTTATCAACGCTAAAAAAGATGTGTCCTGGTTTAGATCTTGACTGTTTTGTAATGTGAGTCATATGAGTTTGCAAAATATCACCGTATTCCCTATATTTCTCGGGTAAATAATATAGTAGACTTCTTGCTTCAATTAATTTATTCTGATGTTTGGGGTCTATGTCGGTTATGTCAAAAAAAAGTTTTCGATATTTTGTAGCCTTTGTTGATGACTTCTCTAGATGTACTTTGTTGTATCTCATGAAATCTAGGGATGAATTGTTTGATATCTTTCGAAACGTTTATGTTGAAATTAAACTCAGTTTAATAAAACTATATAGTGTTTGAGAAGTAACAATGTTCACGAATGTTTCATTAGCTCTTTGTCTTGCATTATGAGTCAAAATGATATCATACATCAAACTTCGTGTGGTTACCCCCCCCCCCCCTCCCAACCCCCAACAAATTAAAATGGTGTCGCAGAAAAAAAGAACCGTCATTTGTTGGAAATTTTTCGTGCTCTTTTATTGCAGATGAAATTACCTAAAGTTTTTTTTGGCAGATGTTGTTCACACTGGTTGTTTCTTCATTAACATGGTGCTTTCTTCCGTACTCCACGGTCAAATCCCGTATTTAATTGTGTATCCATCTAAATCTTTGTTTTCCCTATCCCCCTAAGGTTTTTTTGTTGTATGTGTTTTGTACAAGATGTTCGTCCACTAAGGGGAAAGCTGCGCTTGATCCTATGTCCCTAAAGTGTTTTTTCTTGGGGTATTCTTAGTCTCAAAAATGGTATGTGTTAGTAGTGTGTTACTCTCCTTTTGAGGAAATTCTGTTCTCTAATAGTATTTGCGGGGTAGGTCTCCAATGATAGAAGATGATTTTCTTACATATACTATCATTATTCATGTGCCCACAACGGAGTCCGTTTTTGGAGTAATACCTCCCATTACGCAAGTGTATTCTAGGCGGCCCAGGATGTGGTTAGGTCGACGGTTACACAGGTGAATACTCCTCCCCTACCACAACCTCCGTCAAATTATCTTGATCTTCTGATTGCCCTACGGAAAGGTAAATGTAGTTACTGCTATCCCCTTTCTTCATTTGTTCCGTACGGGCATTTGACAGAGTCTTCTCGTACCTCTATATCCCAATTGGATTCCGTGTCTGTTCCTAAAACGTTGTGCCAAGCTATTTCTCATGATGGGTGGAGATTTGAAATGGAGGAAGAAATGCCAGCCCTTGAAGAGAATCAGACTTGGGAGCTTGTCCATCTCCCAACCGAGAACTCTGCAATTGGGTGTAAGTGGATTTATGTCGTCAAGACAAACCTGGATGGTTCAGTTGCTTGGCTTAAAGCATGCTTGGTGGCTAAAGGGTATGTACAGACTTATGGAGTTGATTATATAGAGACTTTTTCTCCGGCCAAGATAACTTCTATGTGGCTTTTTATTTCTCTAGTTCCTATTAATAGTTGTCCGTTATACCAGTTAGATATCAAAAATGTATTTTTACATGATGATTGGTCAGAAGAAGTGTATATGGAGCAGCCACATGAGTTTGTTGCTTAGGGGGAGAATGGTAAAGTTTGTAATATAAGATGAAGAAGTCGTTGTATGGGTTAAAACAGTCTTCTAGAGCGTGGTTTGGGAGATTCAGTGTAGTTACAGAGTTTGGAATGCAATGTAGTGCCTATGATCACACTATTTTTTACAAGCATTCTAACTATGACAATGTTTTGTTAATTGTCTATATCGTCCATAATAATGTCCGAAAACTTAATAAAATTTAATGTCCAAAAAATATTAATGTTTAGAAAATAATAACGTCCATAAAATTTTCTTAACTGAAATATTGCCACATGAACATAATTGGAAACAATTCATCAGGATTCATAACTTAATACCATAATGTTATCATTAATTAAAAGTATCAATAGCAATAAGCAACATTATAATCACCATTAACGTAACATTTAATAATAGCAACCAAAGTATGGTAATAGTGTAATACACCTTCTTAATGCTTCCATTTTTTCTAAAGATAACATGTGACTAGTCCAATTAGTGGTTAACTGCAATTGTAACACTAATTACCAACAACAACAATAATAATAATAATAATAAGAGTTAATGAACGATTTGGTCCCCCAATTATTAGCGAACTGTCAATGTAGTCCCTCGATCGCTTATTTATCGATTTGGTTCCTGAAAATAATTATTTTTAGTTGATTTAGTCCCTCAGGCCGTCTTACGACGACGGCCGGTGGGACTAAATCGACTAAAAATAATTATTTTCGGGGACCAAATCGACGGTCGGAGGGATTAAATCGACTAAAAATAATTGTTTTTGGAGACCAAATCGATGAATAAGCAATTGAGGAACTATATTGACAGTTCGCTAATAATTGAGGAACCAAATTGTTGATTAACTCTAATAATAATAGTGGGTAATTAATATATATTAAAACGTAAAAGTCACAAACATAATAATTATTCAAATTTGAAACGACATCCATAAAACAATTAACACACGGTAATGCTACATACATTATTCAATTCCAATCTTAAACTTGTCTCTTGATATTTAACTTTTAACATGACACTACTTTAAGCGTAAAAAATATAAAGAGATTTATTATATTATAACATACAAACCAAAAAATAAAAGTTTATTTTAGGGAAAACCAGTAATGGTATATCCACCATCTACGCAGATAGTTTGTCCGGTGATATATGATGCAGCCGGCAAGCAAAGGAATGCCACCAGTGACGATACTTCTCCGACCTCTCCTGGCCGGCTTATCGGAGTCCGACGGATCATGCGCTCGATTTCTTCCGACCCTTCAGCATAAATCTGCATTATTGGGAAAAGAAAATTAATTAATGAATTCATTTTAATTAGAACAAAATGTTGTTATTAGTTATAACTAGTAATTGTCCTTGCGATGCACGATCTATTATTAATTTAACAAATTTACCAATTAAATTTTTGACATCCTCTGAATTAGCAAAGAAAGTAATGGTTGTGGAAACAGAAAAACGTACTTGAGTTCTTGAGCTCAGAATTAGTTTGATTAAAAATGTAAGTATAACTATATAACTAGTATTTGTCCCGTGCGATGCACGGAAAATATGTTATAAAAATATATCCTATATGAGGTTTATTCATATATAAAATTTTTGTTATTTAATAATTATTATGTGTGAATTCCTATGATAAAATTATGAACATAAATATATTTACAATTAAAATAATATTTAAGGTGGGTGATTACTACAAATCTTAAACTATATTAAAAATTTAGTACATAGTATTTAATACTACAAATTTTTAAGAACTTAGTAAACTACAATAGTAATTGAATTACAATTTTAGAGTCACCACGGATCAAAATTTTTAGACTTTTGAGATTTCTAACTCTAGATGTAGCAACATACAATTGACCTTTAAAGACCAAACAATAACAATCTTAGTTCGAACATTGATTTTTTCTTCCAAATACTATCGAATTAAGTGTGTAATCAATAAAAGATGATAACTAATAATTCGAGAATATAATCTTAATGTTACTAAGCCTACTTCACGTCAATTGAGTTGGAGAGTGTTGTTGGATAGTATCCGATGAATCCAAAAATAACGCATCTTTGTCTCCGTAATCCTCGATATGCACATCAACAATCTTAAATATAAGGCCGCCTAGCTATGCTATATATTAATTTCAAACTTATGGACTTTGGGGTTGCACGTGTGGTGTGCATGCATGCTTTTTAAAGCCATATGGTCTTGTGAAAATTAAATGTTGTTAATACCAACATTTAATTTTCACAAGACCATATGGCTTTATTATAATTAAGATGTAATATTTAATATTTTTAAAAGTTTAATTATGCTATTATTATGTTGATTTTAAAGTTTATTGTTACTTATATTATTATTTAAATTTGAATTTTTTTTGAAAGGAATTTGAATTCGAAATAACTACTTTAATTATATAACTAACGTATTTAAATAAAACTTGTAAATAAAATAACATGCGATATTTATTGAAAATCTCTACAAAAAAACTTATTCATCATTTGAAAAAGATTATTTATCTAAGAACTATATTTATTTTATATCTAATTTCCCATCTTTATATATGTGGAGTCAAATTAATTATAATTGAAGTTTAAATGAATATATACACAAATTATATTAAATATAAAACATTACCAATAAATTTGAATACAATAAACTTTTTTCCATACTAAATTATGCTTTACTATATATAGAGATAGATATAGAGGCATAGAGCTATAATAATAAAATATAATTTATAAAATATAAATACACATAATAACTTCAAAAAAATATGTATAAATAAATCTACCCTCACAATAAATTCATTCATACTTTGCTAATCTTGTTTCTTACCCCAAAAGGCTGAATCCCCAACCCTAAGGGCCCCCCACACTCCGACCCGACAGAGCATGTGAGATGATGTAAATCACAGTGACTCAATGGGTTACTAGACAAAGCTAAATGCCGGTGCGCCGAAGGAATCTACTTACTTTGGACATAATTCTTACACTGCCGCCGACTAATCTTGTTTTTATCAAAATGCATTCACACTTTGGAGAGAAAATTTTGTGACTAGATTTTGTTTTATTATATATAAAGATCTGATAATTAAATTAATTAAGAAGCGAAATTAAAAGATTATGCTGAAAAGGAAAATTATTATGTTGTACTATACGTACCTCGGCGTCATTGACGAGCTTGGTTCGGATGATCCAAGGTGCAACCGAGTTAACACGGATGTTGTCTTTGGCCCACTCACACGCCAAGTTTTTTGTCACTTGATTTATTGCTCCTACATATTTATACATGGTTTAAAATTTGTTAAATAAAAAAATCACATAGAATAAAAGAAAGAATATTACTATTTTGTACCCTAAGTAAAACATAAGTACTCGTACTTAAATATTACAAGTTCAATTTTTGTCAACATCATTTTGATTGAGCCCGTCGCATAGGATCAACCTAGTGCAGTTTACTTTTCTTTTATGGTTTATGAGTTATTACACATGAGCGAGATTTACTATGTACCTAGCCTCATATAGTGACGGGATTTCCCTTCTCACTCAAAAATAATTATTATTATTATTATGAATACTACTCACTCTATTTCAATGTAGTATCTGTTCATAGCTACTTTCTCAATCTAATAAAGCACAAAGAGTCAATATCGCATCCACTAAAACTCAAACTCACAACCTCCCATATAAAGGAGCAACTTGGTGCCATTGGACCACAATATCCATGGTATATTGAATTTTTTTATTACTTTAAAAAGATAAAAATGATATTGAATTTTTTTAGAAGTCATTTTTTATCTTTTCAAAGTAATATATCATAAAACATCTCAATTGAGATTGAGTTTGCACTCACAAACATACTAATCAATGTATGTGATGATTCTTACGTTATGTCCTCCGCATGTGAAATGAGTGTCATTTTTACCGTTATAATTCTTAGTCTAGATTTATGTGGTCTGTTGGCGTTTGTTTACCCTTCATATAATAATTATTAAGTAAACCAATTTACTGCAAATATCCTTTTTCCTACTAAGCCATGTGTACAGTTTATATGCATATTGAGGTGTTTGGTAAATAGCTGTTTAGCGGATAGCTGTTAACTTATTGGGTTAGTGGATTTGACTAATTGATAGCATTAACTGATTGTAGAAAGATATTGGTAAATTAGAAGTTAGCTGATAGCTAATTACAAGTAAAATGACTTTGTCAAGAAGCTTATCGAAAAAACTGCTTTGGGCAGCTTTTTGAATTTTAGTGTTTTGGAGCAATAAGTTGTTACATAAAGGCATAAAGCAAATTAATCAGACACTCATATTAGTTGTTTAATCAAGTCAAACAACTAATAGTGGTCAAACAAGACAAAATTGACTGATAAGGAAAAATTATTACACTTTTCGTTCCTAAGTTATAGGGTAAGTGTAAAATTCGGTCCCTACTTATTGGACGTGCTCACTTTTCATCCCTAAGTTATAACTGGAGTTGCAAATTCCTCTTTTTCCTAACAAAACATTAGAGACAAGATTTGCAATATCAGCTATAGCTTAGAAACGAGAAGTGAGCACGACTTGTTTGAAAATGGATGAAATTTGCAACGTTTGTTTTAGCTTAGGGAGAGAAGTGAACTCAACCAACAAGTAGTGGCAAATCCTATTACCCTATAAATTAGGGACGAAAAGGTGTAAATTTATCAATGTTTAATTTAGCTCGTTAAATATTAACTTGGTCCATTTAATTTTTATATATTTAAAAATCTAATGATAAAGTAAAACTCTTTCAAATTAAATTTGATTGGTGACTAATTGGAATTAGATTACTTAAGTTTTATTAATTACAACCTCATTTTGAATCTTTCTTAGGTAAAAATTGATGTGTTTTGGTACTGAGAAATTAGTAGCCACATAGGCAGATTTAGATGCCACATCATTCAACCATATAGGACGACTTCCCAATGGATATTAACAAGGTTAACCCATTTTTCTTAATTGTTATGTTTTAAATAGTATATGATATATTTAATGATTGAGATACGGAGTACTAAATTAAACATTTTGCATTAATACATGGATTTATATAATACTTAAATGAAAGAGAGACTCTTTTTTGGGTGATGAGAAAAACTCACAATGACTAATTAAGAGTATGCACGGGATAAATCTATTTCAGTGAATGTACTAGAAAGGCCCTCTATGACAGGCTCAATAGAGAAAGTGTTGACAATAATTAAACTTGTGATTTTTATGTACGAGAATTATACTCAACTTACTCGTGACTCGAATACTACTTTTGAGGCAAGGGGCCTCATTTTATTTTTACTTTACCTGTTATTTGTAGCAGCACAAACTAATATCATAAATAATAATTAATATTTTAAAATTTTCCAAATCTTCATATTCCAAATTAAAAGGTAATTCTCAAAATGAGTAATTAGTGTTTTTTCATCCATTATTGGACTTGTGTTTTCAAATTTGCCAGTACTTTTTTTTATTATTGTGGCCTTGTGGCAGTTGTGGGTAGACAATTTTAAAAGTTCTTACCAATCAATTTTGAACATCTATTAATAACAAATTATGGTTCACCTAATGACTTGGACTGGTGTTTATAAAACTGCACCAACTTTTAATTAATTTAATTTAATAATTATATTTATTTATATGTATATTGACTTTCTCAGCCTGCAAGAAAGTGACTTCTAATTATATTAATGCAACTTGAAAAATGCCGTGATGCATGGCTGAAACTGTTGATCGTCACCACTATGGATTTGGGGATTTTATTTTCATGTGTGTTCATGCCGCAAAGGTCCAAACTCATAACATTTCATTTGAGCGTGAGGCTATCTAAGTTTGAACTCCAAACTTAAAGGTCCTTCACGTCTTCTGTCTGGAGACTTGTAAGTTGCAAGAGAAGGTAAATTGATCACGGAATGTGCTTTGATAATGCAGTCTTTTAAGTTTTTGCATTGAAGGTGGATACTGACTAAATATTGGCTCTATTTGATAGAGTTTATAACTTATTTTAAATTACAAATAAGCTATAAACTCTATTTGCTAAAAGTTTAAAATAATAACTTATTTTGATCTAGCATTTAAAAATAATCTACTGGCTGTTAAACTTTTTTTTTATATATATCTTTATTAATTTACAAAAAAAAATGATACCATCTACCCTTCATCAATCAAAATCTCAATAGATTAATTTATACTTTTATCTGATTTTGCACTTATCAGCTAATTCAACCATTAATTATACCAAACACTTTAATTTCAATTAGTTAACTTATTAGTTTTTCATGTCAAACAAAGTCATTACCCCAAACTCAGTCTTTCACCCACCAAACTATGCAAAAGATGCAGAAATGGAATAGTAATACCTACCTTTGGATGCGGAATAGAGAGTAGATTTAATGACAGGCATGATTCCAGCTGCAGAGGAGTTGAAAACTATGCTTCCCATTTCTGAAGCTTTGAGATATGGATATGCCAATTGACAAAAGTGGAATGAAGCTTCAAAGTTGGTTCCCATTACAATTGTGTAATCTTCTGCTGTGAACTCTGTTGCGTCCTTAGGCACTAATGTCCCAGCATTATTCACCTAATTAAACAAAATATATATAAATCATATCTTTACCCAAATACAAATATATGATAGAAAGAAATGGAAAAGGGAGGGAATAGCAACCAAGATGTTGAGTTTTCCATTGAAGTGATTGGCCACTTTTTCCATTAACTCCTCCCTCTGCGGCCGTGAGGATACGTCGCAGGCAGATCCGGCGACTTTGAGGCCTTTCTCCCTCCATCTTTCCACGCATTCCTTAACGTCGTTTTGATTCCGGGCACAAGTATACACCTCCGCTCCAAATCCTGCTAGCTCTTCTATGATTGCATAACTAATAAAAACCACACAAAAATTTTAACATATCTTTAAGCAAAAATATAATGGAAAAGATTGGAAAGAGTTTAGTAGTTGAATTCATACCCAATGCCTCTGGTTCCACCAGTGACGAGGGCAGTCATGCCCTGAAGAGACCACTTTCCTTCTCCTCTGCTCATTTCTTGATAATTGTTAATGAAGAACCAAACAACAAAGCTTAGATTACTTGTAGCTTAACACACAACCTGCTGGCTGGTTATATTATGATTTTCCCATGTTTAGTCCATACCCACAAGTATATATAGACAGAGTAATGTTACTCACTCTTCAAACTTTATTCTTTTTTTTTTTCTTTTTTATTTAATACATTAACGGGTTCAGGAAATATGCATAAAATAGAATGAAATTCTCGAGAATAGGCCTATTCCGTTGTCTGGTAAAGATTTTTGTTCTCAGGGATATCATTTTTTAGAATGAGCTATTTCTTTTGCAAAGAGAATAGTAATTCCGGGAGCACCCTGGTATTCTTGAGTTCTCAAGAATAGCCTAAATTTGTTATTTCATATTCTACACCCAATTAAATCTAAAAAAGTTTTAGTCCTTTTTTTTCTCCCTATGGCAACACTTCTTTATCACCAGTACCACAGGTGTATTCCTTTCAAGTTCAAGCATTTCAACCTTCACAAGATTGATATTTATCTTATTCTATGGTGAATGTATATATGATGTCTAATTTTTTTTATATGATTTTTTTCTAATAATAATAATATTACATTTATACATTAGAATATACATTTTAGTACAAGTTGATCTACTATGTTCTAGAAAAAATCTATCTCAATCATGTACCCAAGGAAAACATATGAATTCATATATATGCTATAACTTTATTGTATAACTCTTTACTTACTTTTTGACAACTTTAGTAAGTCCATTATATAGATACGTCACTTTCAACAAAAAAAAAAGAAGCTAACATTTAGTAACTAATCAATGACCACTGAAATATTGACATTATAGATAGTTTCTTTGCCGAATTGTAGGACCTAAGGGATCGAAGGGTTTACGACTTAGTAAAGAAAGGGGGTTCAAGAGGTTGGTAGTGGAGGTTAGTTCAGAAGCCGTGGTTAAGGTGATGGAGGAGAACTACAAGCCTAGCGACTTTATTATTGCTCTCATTGTTGATTGCAAGTTCCTTGTTTGGGGGTTTGATGAGGTTATTTTCACGCATGTGTTGAGGGAAGGTAACAGTTGTGCCAATTTTCTTGTTAATCTTGGTCACATTATGGTTGGATACGACGATCTTAGAGACTCCTCCTGATGATTTGTTGAGGTTCCTTCTAGTTGATGCGGGTGGTGCTCGGTTCAGAAGGGTCAAATAGAGTCCCGTTGTTGCAGGGACGACTCACCCATTAAAAAAACAGCTAAAATCGCATTAAAGATAATTAAATTTATTTTAATATGAAAATTATTTGGATATTATTTTTATTTCCAATCATAATTATCACAAGTTAATGTATTTTAATTATATTCAAAACAATCATTATTGGAATCGTAAATCTGGCAGCCAGCACATATTAAGATGGAAGTGGCACGCCTTGTGCATGAATGGCAAGAGAGGATGGAAGCTTTGGCAGGTGGAGGCGCAAGTCTAGTAACTCCATCTACAGGGGCGGAGGCACCTTAGTGCAGCCGGGGGCCTCCCCCCCCCCCCCCCCACCCATCCAAAAAAAAGAATTTGAAGTGTTATTGTAATCCTAGGAAGAAAATCAAGTGGAATGTAATTATTGCTTTTTTAAAAAAAAAAAATCATCCAAACTAGTGCAGTTCGCCCTCGTCGAGTTTGCCGCACCGCTGCTTCATATGCTCGGCTGCCTCCGCTCTTTCCTCGAAATCCTTTTTCTCTTCATTCAGTTTTTTTTTTTTTTATTTCTCATAAATTTCGAGATTGTTCCATCGTTGTCTTCCTCAATTTATATCTGCATCCCTTTCTGAGCGCCATTGAAATAAATCCAGGAAGAAAAGGGGGATTATGGGTACTATGAACGGGAGAAGGAAGCTTTGAGCCTGTTGATTGTGCGGCTTACACTGCAGGTAATTTCTCTTCAATTTTCAAGCTGCAAGTCTATAGGTAAATTTTCATTTCTTTTTTATCCTTAAGCTTTGGATTTTTTTTTTTTTTTGAATTACTCTTTATTGGAGATGGATTCATCACTCCTCACCACAACAAAAAGTCTAGGTATTGTTGTTAAATGGTAGCTAAACCAACTCGAGTGTAGTAGTGTACTACTATATGCTTTTACTACTAAGGAAAATGAAATACATTGCAATGGTTGCCCCTCCCCCCGGCACCAACAAATCCTGACTCCGCCCCTATCCATCTATGTCGACTTCTGTGCCGCCGCGGCAGACACTCTAATGGTTTATGTGGATGCAGCGGTTTGGTCAGACACACATGAGGCTAGTTACGGTATTGTGATTACACAAGCAAATGGTAGCTTTGTTGCAGCAAAGAATGGCCAGGTACAGTGCATGGATGATGTTCATTTAGCTGAGGTCATAGCTATCAAGGAAGCTCTCACCTGGGCCAAGGAGAGGGGTATATATTTTAAAAGCAAGAATACACTCTGGTTGCCAGTTGATATGTAAGTTGCTTAAAGGCTCCTTACCAGACTTTACCTATGCAGGCTGTATTCTGAATGAATGTCGGGATCTACAACGACACTTTGATATGGTGTCTATTCAGTATGTTTCAAGATCAGTGAACACAGATGCTCATGCCTTAACTAGGACGGCATGTTCGCAACCTGATCCTATTATTTGGTCTACTTCTTTTCCGCATTGTATTGAACATTTGTTCTAATGAAATTTGGTTATGTGGTTTAAAAAAAAAAATTAACTTTCATATTTGAACATTATATTAATTATTTACTTATTCTCATTTTTATGTTAAACATTAGTTCAGTGGCGTAATACGCATATTATAACTGGTTATCATGTCATTGTGCCAATTTTTAAGTTTATAGTTCACTATCATAAAAGTAAAATTTAAAAGTAAAATTTAAAGAATAAGATAGTATTTAAGTTGGGTAAATAAAAGTTGAAGTATACAACATCGAAAACGTACAAACATTATTATTCAAATTAGCAACAACATCCATAAAACAATTAGCACATGGTAATACTAACATTATATTATTCCTCTCTTAATATTCAATTTCTAATATATATAACACTACTTTGCAATGAATATAAAGAGATTTATTTATTATCACGTTAGAACAAAAAAAAATGCCATTTTTTATGGAAAACCAGTGATGGTATATCCACCATCAACGCAGATAGTTTGTCCAGTGATATATGATGCAGCGGGCAAGCACAGGAACGCCACCAGTGACGACACTTCTCCGACCTCTCCTGGCCGGCTTATCGGAGCCCGACGGATCATGCGCCCGATTACTTCCGATACTTCAGCCTCACTCTGCACAGTCAGTAGACTCAGTACAATGGGAAAATAATATATATATGTAATGAATTCTTTTTAAATTAGAACAAGAAGTTATTACTCACCGTCCGTTTGGTTCACTGTAAAATATTTGAAGGGAAATTGAATTGAAATTTAATAGAAAATAAATTTCAGGAATATTGATTCAATTGTTTAGTTGGTTGAAAAGAAATTACTAGGAATATGGATTCCATTGTTTGGTTGGGTTTAAAAAGATAAGGAATAATGCGTATAAAGACCAATATGACTTTAAAAAAATGAATGAATAAATAGGTGCTTATGTAATTAAGAAACTTTCATAAGGGTAAAACGGTACACTCATGTTATTTTTCTTCCCAGTCCTTGTGGAAAACAAAATCTCACCATTTGGCAAAGAATTCATTTTCCAATGAAAAATGTTTTCCAATGTTGCAAAAAGGCGCCTCCTAGGTGCCGATTTTTTAAAAAAAAAAAAAATAATTAAAAAAAATTTTAAAATTAAAAATTTAGTACTAAAACATAAGGGATCGTTTACTAACAGAAAATTATTTTCTGTTTTCAATTCTCTGTTTTCAATTCCCTGTTTTCAAAAACCAAAATTGAAAACTTGTTTTATTCATTCTCTAGTGTCAATTAATACATCATTTCTAAAATATGAATCATATACACACTGACACTGCCAAGTGCCAAAGTTAAAATTAATACATATTTTTCAAAATCCTAATCACAATTCGCATGCACACTGCTAAGTGCCAAAGTCACAATTCGCATGCACATTGCCAAGTGCCAAAGTCACAATTAATCAAGGTTGCAGTAGGCGCTAGGCGCTAGTCGGGCGGCCGGGCAGCGCCTAGCGCCTAGGCGGTCTAGGCGGCGCCTAGGCAGATTCTAGGCGGCGCTAGGCGGGCACCAAAAAAATTTAAAAAAATAGTGACAGACTTGTAGTTCGATAATTTTAATAAGGTTGTTTTCAACGTTCAATCAAATAACACATCTAAATAAATGAAATAATGATAATTTATAAGTCATAATGTCATAATAATATTAAAATCAATAATTAATGAAAGACGACATCGGTCAAAATCGGTCAAAATCAGACAAAATCGATCAAAATCGGTCAAAACGGTCAAAATCGGACGAAATCGGTCGACTCGGCCGAGTTGACCGACTCGGCCGAGTTTGACCGCCCAGGCCGCCTAGCGGCCGCCCAGGCCGCCTAGGCGGCCGACCGAGTTTTGGCCGCCTATAGGCCAAAACTCCAAGGCAAGTGGCCGCCTAGCGCCTAGGCGGGCGCCTAGGCGGCTAGGCGGCCGAGTTTTACAACACTGCAATTAATACATAATTTTCAAATCCAAATTAAAAACACAAAAATAGTAATTAAAAAAATTTATCGAGCTCAGTATGTTACTGGCCAAGTGGTTGATTGGAGTCTGAAGCAGTGGAGTGGCTTGGCCGACGGGGCAGGGAGGAGTCACCGGCGTCCAGCAGTAGTTGAGGAAACGTGAGATTGTGAGACTGTGAGAGGACTGAGGTCTGAGGAAGAGAGGAGCGAAGCTGCGAAGGCGGCGTTGCCGTCGGAGGATAGACTACGGAGGGCCGAGGGAGTGACCGCAGACCAGCTGACTGGAGTGTCGCCCTCGTTGAAGGTGGAACTGTGGTCTGTGGAAACCAGAAGGCGTGAGGCATAGACGAGTGTGGGGGTGTGGATTGTGGAGTACTGGAGTGGAAGTCGTGGAGATTATAGAGAAGACGAGAAGCTGAGTCGCGGAGAGCCGGGGAAGGTGAAGGACGGAAGGCAATTAGGGATTT